CACTAATAGAACTTTAAATGAAATATAATTAAACTATTCCATAACTAAAAAATAACTACTAGAAATTATCTTTGCCTTTGAGAAGTTTAGATATTGTTTAATTAAAATGAAATCATATGATAGTAAAATACCATGTAGCTAACAAATATGCAAAGCCGAAATTGATTTGGTGGTTTAGTATTTAATTTAGAGTCTCATGATAGGAAAGGGATCAAAAATCAAGTAGCATATCATTTATTTGGATTGTAAAATGATAAAGTTCTTGAAGACATTAATGAATCATTTCTTGATGAACACATATTTAGATTTAACTATCAAAGTCGTCTTCCTTGGTATGTTGATTTTCTTAATTTTCTAATTAGTAATATATTTCCTCTTGATTTATCCCATCAACAAACAAGATGTTAGATATTATTTATGGTATTAACATTTTCCTTATAAATAATGAATTGATGAAATTATAAAAAAATATGTCCTTAGTCAAGAAATAGATAATATACTTAGACAACATCACCACATTATGAATAGTGGCATTTTGAAGGAATAGCAATTAATATAAAAGTCTTACAAAGTGAATTTTAATAGACAATCTTTTTTAGGTATGCACATAACTACCTGAAAATTCTAATAGATGTCAACATACAAGAAATATATCTAATAGTCATACTAAGCCCTAGAATTATATTATAGAATTGGGAGTTTTTGTATGTTTGGAGGATATATATTTTATGGGACCATTCATTTTCTTATATGAAAATCAATAAATCATTATACAAGTAGATTATGTATCTAAATGGATAGAAGTTTTATCATCACCTACTAAGGACTCTAAGCTAGTTAAATTCTTAAAAAAAAAAAAAAAAAAAAAAAAAAAAAAAAAAAAACTAGATTTGAAACATCTAGAGCCATTACAGTTGATGAAGAAGTTATTTTATAATAAATACTTTCAATCATTACTAGCTAAATTTAGAGGATGGTTGATAGTGTAGAGAATGGTAATGATGGTTGATATAGAAAATGGCGAGGATGGTTGATAATATAAAGAATATTGACAACTCCATTTTGTATCAATATTGAAGTGAAGAAGATGACCTTGAGGATTGAATTTATTTTAGTGTATTGGGTTAAATGTTTAAGAGTTCCTAGATGATGCTGGGTTTGAAATAAGAGATAAGAAGTAACAAATTATTTGAGAACTACTTTGATGGGATAAAATTTTCAAGAACACATATATTAAAAATTATTTCATAAGGTGCATTTATAAATATGATTTTTGGGTAGTGTGGGTTGTGCTTCTTTATTGATGGTGTCCTCTTTAACCATGACAAGCATAGTTATGTCTTCATTAAAATGATTCTTGTGGATGAAAAAAGGATGCATTTTTAGACATCATTGGAGTAGTGTCATTGGAGAGGATACTATGAGAGTTGAAGAGAGTTATGGTGCACTATGAGACATATATATGATATTGGGAAAATCCGTCAGTAATGGACGATTTTCCTGTAGTGATATATAGTAAGGAATAATGATCTAGCCTAATACATTGCAATTGGATATATATTATCAGCACAATATTAGGGTTATTGATGTAAGCAGGGGGGGGGGGGCAAATCAAACCCAAAAAAATTTGGTTTTGACTTCCCTTGAGCTTGCTAGCTCATTAAATTTTGAGCTAAAATTTAGTTCATTTATGAGCTGGTTTTTAGTTCTTTGAACTAAGAGTTAGCTCATTATGAGCTGTATTTTTAGATCACTTTTTAATTTATTAGTAGCTCATTAATTTTATCTCTTCTCCTTCTCCTTGTTTATTCGTTTCCCGTGGATGCCTCATGGGTTCCCGTGCTTGGCTCCTTGGCTTCCTCGGTTGGCTGTTGGGTGGCCTTTCCTGTGCTTTGGTGCCTTGGTTCTGTGCGGGCCTCTTTGGTTTCCGCGGCTGCCTCTTCGGGTCCCTGGTTGGGCTGTTTCTCGTGGCTGATGGGGGGCTTTTTCGTGGCTTTGGTGCTTTGTTTCTTGTGTAGAATTAGGGAATATTATTAGGTGGCTGTTGACTTTTCATTTCCCTCATTTATTTAAGAATTTAAAGGGTCATTGTGGCTATTTGTATTCCCCTCTCATGTCTATATATAGTAGATATTTTGGGTTGTTTAAGTATGTTATATGATGTGATTTTTGAAAAGAAACCTGAGGGATTTTGGAAAAGCTTGCGAGTTTTGTCCACTTCTTCTTCTTCTATCTCTTGGGGAGACTTGCGAGTTCTTTCCACCCTTCTTCTCGGCTTCTAATCTCTTTCGTCTCTCCGCAAGTTTCATTCCAACTGTATCCTTCTTCTCAAGGCAAAGCTTCTTTAGGTGTTTTTGTTTGTGTCGTTTGTAAGAGTCAAGTTTGTAAGTGTCTTTTATATTATATAAGTTTGTCAAAGTTTGTAAGTCATCTTTTAATATTAAAAAGTGTCTTTTTTTGGGTATTTTTATGTATTTCTTTTATATAGGAAGTGATTGTTTTTGTGATAAAAAATTTGGGGCCCTCTCCCAAATTTTTGATTGCATTAGTTATGAAGCCATTTTGATCATAGGTAAAACATGTGATGAGTTCTCTAGGGATTAAGTCTTAAGAATTTTGAGGCAAACGAACAATAAGGTTCTCACAAGCAATAATTTATGCAATTGTATAAGAATAAATATGTAAGTATTTAAATTTTATGTAATAGGAATATAAAGTACTGATGAAGAGATATATACAAAGTGTTAATATTTTTTAGTTACATATTTTTTAATGGGACTTGTCCATCTTACATTGCTATATAGAGTGGTCAAGGAGAAATTCTATAGGTTTATTATACATTCTCTCACTCAGGATATCATAACTAAGATTATTAAGAGGAATCCAAGCACCCCTATTTCTTAGGAGAGAGTAGGGAAGAGAATATAAGTACAATTAGCTTCAAGTTAATTCATTTCATCCCAAAAAAGAAGATGAAATGCTTTTTTCTAGCATCATAGAGTTAATAATTAGTAGAGAAATAAAGCTGGAAAAAATCAAATAAGACTAGAAAATAATCAAATAAGGCTAGAGTAAAATTTGAATGCTTTAACACATCTTGTATATATATATATTTTATATAGGGCATGTTAGGAGAGAAGGGAGGAGGAGAAAGAGAAGAGAAGGTGGAAGAAGTAGAGGAGTTGAGGGGAGTAGTAAGAAGATTCTTGCCATTGAGGAGGATAAGAAGGAGGAGGTGGTGGAGGTCATATAGGATGTAATCCTATATATAGATATTTCATGTAAGTTTGATGTATAATTAGTAAGGACTAAGTGTAGGTTGAGTAAAAGATGTTTGCCTGATTATTTTGTAAATATGTCAGAGAAAAGACACAAGTTGAGAGATCCATGTGCAATTGATCCACTCCACCCTATTAATTGGGAGTAGTTGTCTACCTTTAAGGTTTAAATATCATGTGATGTTGACAACTATGAGGAGGACTTAGGAGTGGGCACTAGAAATGCACAATGGTTAAAATAATTGAATATTCTAATGGCTTAGTTAGATAGTAAATAATAAATATTTTGCTTCATTAAATATATGAGAAATTGATTCATTATATTAACTTTAATTTCTATTTTCTTCGTATCATATTGATTCTTTATATTTCCTAACAAGAGAGCAGACATGGAGCTACCCAAATATCCATGAATTTTGTTAGATAAAATATTTAATAAGAAATAAAAAATAGTAGTTGTGATATGTACAAAAGTTAGAAAGGATAACTTAAGTGGCCCAAATGTCCCATCATGTATACAATTTAGAATTAAGACAAGTTCCTAATGTTATACATGTTGCATAGTTCATATATTTTTCAATGAATTGGAATAAAGTTCATTGGATGACATGTGAGATCTCAATGTCTACAGATTCCATTAAGTTACTTGACTGTGACCCCTCTTGCACCACAATGCAGAATTTGCAGGCAATAATGAATTATTTTTGCAAATACTTCATTGGGTTGGTTGAGCAATCAAAGTTATTTGATAGCATACATGTACAACTTTTATCTATATCACCTTGGACGTGGAATAGGGCCACCACAAATGAGGTTCCCAAGGTTTCCATAAGATAACTCATTTGATAATCTAATAAAAAGAAATCATAATTTCTATAGGACTTTGCATATTTTGGTTAATGAGCCATATGCATTATATCTGCAACAATGATTGTGGAGTGTATGCAATACAGACATAGGCTTCTTTTGGGACGCCTTTCTTTTTGCTTCTTAAAGCAGCTTTTTAGTGTAAAAATTTTAATTTTTGTACAAGAAAGCTACTTTATGAAGCAGTAAGAAAGCCGTCCCAAATGAAGCCATAATGTACCTAATTTTAAAGTAGAATTCTTGGAAATAAAATCTGATCAAGTATTCTACATAGATTATTTTTGTAAATTTATTTCATAGAAATGCTGACCCATAACTCTATGTTGAATATTATATTTCCATTATATATATATATATATATATATATATATATATATTATAATATATTTTAAGCATCTTATTTGAACCTCATCTAATACTTAATTGAATGCTTAACATTTTTATTGATCTTAACAAATTATTTTTTTGATGAAAGGGCCGAATATATGTTTGATTAAGTATTAAAAAAATATCAATTATTTTATAAATTTTTGAATATTGTATTTTTAACACCTTATTTGATCTTGTTCAAATACTTAATTGTCTATTTAATTATTGTTAAATTATTTCCAATAAAAGGGTTGAAATATTTGAATAAGTTTCAAATATTTAATACATTTTTCAAATAATGTATCCTCTCATGAAGTAATATCAAATTATCTTCGATGAAATGGTGGAAAATTGATTATTATAAATTCTATTAAAATTTTATTTGATATTTTTTAGATATTTATTCAAATAAATAATCAATATTGACTAAAATGAAAATACATATTGTGAAAACTCAAATGTCACAATAAAAGGCCAAAAAGCCCTATAACTACGAATCGGTTTGGTGGTTCCAAATTCCGCCGGCGTCACACTCTGCGGCAGCGGCAGCCCCTCATTTCTCCTATTGTTAACCACTTCGTTTCGTGCTCCTCCTCCTGCGCGGGCCTTCGGCGGAGGTTTGACGAAGGGAAGAGGCTAAGAGCGAGAGTGTGTGATAGGTTAACATGTCGGTTATGATCGTGACGAGCTTGGGCGACATCGTCGTGGATCTATATACTGATCGCTGCCCCTTGACCACGAAGAACTTCCTCAAGCTCTGCAAGTACATCTCTTTATCTCTTCCCTCTCTTTACTCCTCAGGAATTCTATTTCTCTTTTCAAAACCATAGGGTAACATGTTTCTTTTTAGTTCATAGTTTGTAACTAAAACTTGATTAACGGTGCAAGTCTAAGAGCTTGCCTTTGGGAGGTTTATTAAATTTTTCTTTTGTGTTGCAATGTAACTCTAATTTGACTTTGGTTGGAGCTTATTATCAGTCATTAATTGCATTAGGGTGTCTATGGTTGAGTTTTCCATCGATCTTTGAACTTATTCCCTTTTGGGATCTCCATTGCTGAAGTATACACTATAAATGGCCACGAAAAAGAGAGCGAAGGAGTCACAAAATGGTGCTTGAGGTTTATCTGATTCCCCTTCATTCAAGTTTACATCTAGGAGAGATGAGAAATGGTCTGGTCCACTAGAAAAAACGCAGAGGCTACAATCATGGCATACAAAACAAGAGTACTTATTCTTTTAATTCCTAAGTATGCCACACAAAAAGAAGAAAAAATCCCAATAATCTTACATCAAGAGATCACCTCATAAAAAGTCTTCTTCTTCTCGCAAGCATTACTGAAGCTGTGAAGTCATCCATATCTCACTTTTCAAAAAGAGAAAAAAAAAAAATCATTCATATGCCCTAGAACCAAGAAGTGATGTGAGGGACAAAAGATATCTCCAAGTGTATTGTAAACCCTTGCTTGCACCTACCCAAAAAGCTTTGTTCATTTCCCAGAATGAAACTCTGGCAAACTGAGAAGGAAAGAAGAGGCATGTGGTTCAAAGCATACAAATCGTGTGAAGCTTCAAAGCTTTCTAAAGTCCTTTATCCTAATTTATCGTAGGAGTAATGTGAATATGTTTTCCTGAGCTAGTTTTATATTCTTCCACCTACCTAGAATTGTGGCAAACCTAGATCTCTTTTGTGATATATCCTCTCCAAGAAAAGCACTGTAAGTGCCAAAACCCTCGATGGTTTCAACACCATATAATTCATCATATCCAATATTACTTTAATTGAACTTTTGCAATAGACGTTTTTTAGTACAAATGTTGAACTTTGCAGTGATACCACTGAGCCTAAATTTGCACTCACTACTGAATTGTCATAACTTTGAACTACTTTTCTCCTCATCCTAATTGTTGCATTGGTTTGTCCCTAGTCCAGGACAGATTTTTCAATACAAACTTGATTCATTTGATCATCTGAAGTCTTTCCATCACTCTTGTTTTATTGTATGTAGGAAGCTAATTCTTCTTTGCTTTCTCAAAATGTGTTTCTCGAATGTGGGCAAAGAAATAACTAAAATAGTCATTGAAGTTGCAACCTACAATCCGATTAATCCTCCAGCTCTTTTGGCTCATATGGTAACCAAGAAGTCTAATAAACATTGTGTTAGAAAACTTGGAAGCTTCACCACTCTGATGTTAAGGCACATGAAGCTCTTGGTACAGTCCCACATCTGCTAATTGAAACGAATGTTTGTGCAAAAATACTAAATAGTTATTCCTCACTGATATGATTAAGCTTTTATGTTCAAAAAGTGTTTGATTATTGGGTTATTTAACCAAAGTTCAACCTCTATAACAAGTGATATCAAAGTTGAGGTTGGCTGGGATCATGTAATTTATGCTGTTTATGGCTCTTATAAGTCTTGATTGATATCTACCATGGTTAAGCAAAGTTCATCTATATGCTATTTTAAATGTTGTTACAAATACAACTTATCAATGAATGATTGAAAGAATTATCTCTTTCTATAAATATCTTCATGTTATAATAACTATTAGATGAAACACTTTTGATTTTAATCATATTCATTTAAGTAAGGAATGTTTTTCATTTATTTTCAAGATAGTTTTAGAAACTAATACTATACAAGATTTCTAATGCATTGCTAACATACATCAACTAGCAAAATATATCCAGGAAGTCAGTCACCTCTATTCTGTTGGCTAATATATGAAACATGCTAATCTTATATCTCCCACTAAGAAGTATGGCCATCACTAAACTGTAGAAAAATATAAAAGTAAAGCTTGTCGACCCACTCTATCATGTAAGACATAAATATATGAAGTTCTAATTTTATTCCTGTAACAGATGGCTAAAAAATATGTTGGGTGTAAAACTTAAATGTTAATAATGCAAAATTGCACACACTATAGTCTATAAATTAGCTTTTTGTCCCACATATACTATTTGTATGACAAGGTGCATCAAAGAAGAATACCACGCACTATGTGAATGATACAGGGCATAGCACACATGGTGTGTGATAACTAGTTCCTTTTTTATTTACTTGATTTTTTAATTAAATTGCTTGTATATGTAATCATTTTTGTTGGAGTTTAGATATATCATAATTAGAGCATTTTCATTACAACTCTCATTTAAATATATTAGTTTTATCGTATAATTGAATCAATATAATAGATTTGTATAAAGTAGAAATCTTTATATTGTTTATATAGGGTTTAAACTTATAAAACTCTACTGTTGTATGATATCTGTTAGGCAAAGCTTACTAAGTGGTTACATGACTAGCTTTGTTATTTTTAGACGAGGAACATGGCTATAACTTGTTGTTTATGCATTGGTTAAGGATGTCTACCCCTTTTAGCTAAGTTTTTTGTATGATTTTCTCTTTTCTCTATCTTTCATCAAGAAAAGAGTAAACGATCTTTTCCATTTACTATACCATCTTCCATGTATCTGTTTTTCCTTTTGTAAGTCATACAAACATTCATTAATCTCCCAATGCCTTCCCTCTAATTGAAATGACTTGCCTCCTTTTACATGGTTATACTTTACTCTTTAGCTTGTGGATTTGTGTGCCTAGTAAATTCTTTTAAAAATTTAAATATGTTCATAAATGATAAAAAAATTATGTCAACTTTTGTAAGGATTAACATATACTATGCTCAGATTTTATCTGTTTACTTACCTTTCCTCTTTGAACTTTCATCATAATTTACCTTTTTGTTGTTTGTGTGCTATTTACTATTAATTGAATGGATAAATGCATGAACAAATATGTTGAATGAATGATGACTTCTGAAGGCTCGATCAAAGATGTTGATATAAGATTGACATGGTTTCAAGTAATTTATTTAGGTTAAGAATTGACATTTAATCATGTTCATTTCAAGTTGATTGACGTTATTTCCTACTCCCGTTGCTTTCAGCTCTCTATTCCTACAAATCATTGGCCTTTATTTACTGTTATGAACTGCTATGATAAAATTTGCAAATTTATATAATTCAGTAAATTTACATGGTTTTTGGTGCATGTATTTAATATGTTAAAGTAATATTATGTTATATTTATATGACATTGATAGTATCTTTTTTAGTATTAGGATATTTTTCTCTTATATTGTTGACTTTTTAATAAATTAATCATGATTTTTAATATTTTGTGCTATTTGTTAAATGGTATGCTTCACATTAATTGTGCTATATAATATCTAGGACCTTTGTACTATGGTGTGATATTTTCTATTGAGAAGTATGATGTAAAAATACCAAGTTATTAGCCTTTGTTCATAAGCTTAAGACTTTGGGTTGAACATGTTTGATTTGCTGGAGTAACTAACCTAATTTGGTACCCCTTTAAATCTCTCTCTCCAACACTCAGAGCGCTCAAGGATATAAGATTCTTTCTCAAATCAATTACACATGTCATCCCCGTTAATCTTACATATAACATCATGTATTTAATACAAGTAGTGTTAAGACCTATAGTTCTACACCCGTTGTATTCATATGCACTTTCCATTACATGGTTTGGCCACATAAAAAATATTACTAGAATCTATATCAACCATGCTTGTTTTTGCTAGCTTATCCTCTTGATGATTCTCACTAGCTTGTTGCTCCCTCTTCTTCAAAGCTTTAAAACCTCTTTTAATGTGTAATTGCTTCTTTTCATATAAATGAATCTTCTTTCTGCCAGCAAACTTGCTCCCTCTTCTTCAAAGCTTTAAAACCTTTTGTAATGTTTAATTGCTTCTTTTGATATAAAGTAATCTTGTTTCTGCCAGCCAACTTGCTGTTAGTTGTCGATCCTATCTTTATTTGCCTCCACCTCGCAAAAAATCCCTCGCCTACTTTTTTTATCAACATGATTGAGCTTAGAAATCACATATTTTAATGAAGCTACAATTGAGCTGCACAAATCAAGAGCGCACCCCACTCTTCCCAATTCTCAAGTATTACTGAAATACAAAAAAGAAATAGAAGAAATCCCAACCATACCAAGAAATTGCTTAACACGAAGTTTTATCCTTGCCTGCACCATTAAAACCATGTCCCTTGTAAACTTTAAATCAGAGAGCGCATGTAAAGAAAGGGAGATCTTCATGATTATCACAAACTCTGGCCGAGTATCTTCCGGAATTGCTGCCAAACACATCCCATCAGGAAACTCATATAAACTGAGAAGGAAAGAAAAGGCTTGGGGGCCCAAGGCATACAAATCCTGAGGCAAGCCAAAACTCAAAGCCAGCTTAAATCCCATATCGTAACTTGTAGTAGTGGTAATAAGGGAATACCCTTTATTATGTCAGTTTAACCAAGAGAGAATTGGTGGACGGATTTTGTTAACAACATATGATGAGATCCGCTGAAGTTTAAAACAAATCTAATTGGGAAGTGTAGGTCTCTGAGTATGCTTCTTAAAGCATGTTCATTTATGAATGATTTAGTAGGTACAAAAATGTTGATGTTTTATTTTTGTTGTGTTGTATGAAATGCAATTATCATTTTCTCACATAACAAATGTAATATTCAATAATCTATTTTACATGTTCATGAAGCTATAAAGAAGGTGCACATGCAAAATGATAATTTTTTTAAGTATACTTTTTCACATAAAGCCAAACGTTTTTTTAACAAGTTAAGCAGGAGAAAAGTATAACCAATTATAACCTGAAGCAATGTTTCAGCATAGTATTTGTTGACCTTTGGTAGCGAGTGATTGTTTTGGCAACTATGCATGTTGACATTTGGTAAAATGTGGTCCTGCAGAAATACAAACACACTTATAATTTTCACGTCATGCCTTATGCTAATTTGAGTCATTTTTTTTCGTATATTTATTAACATGATTGTCTGTTTGTAATTAAAGGTCATGTCCTTGTTGGACTCGAGGCAAGGTGTTTGTTTCCAGAAGCACGGCCTTTGAAAACCAAAACAAATTCCTTAACTAGATAACTAGACAATCCTTCTTAGCAATAACTTGAAGGTTGTATTTTCCTGTGAAACTATGCCAAGTTGTTTGTGAAGGGTAACTTTGATGAGTAAATTATTGTATTTCGTTCTTTTGGTTGCGATGGAATTTATTTATGAAATAAATATAAATTAATTCTTAGTAAGGAGAAATGAGCTCAGGTATGAGAGGAGGATGCTAGTATTTTGCTCTGGTGTATTGGAAGGGGTGATGTTGGACAATTCTTCTTAGCTAGAAGAAAGCCAGTGGATTTTTCCTACCCTTTTTTTACTTTATTTTGAATGCTTTAATTTTTTCTATTGGCCAAGCAAGTGAAGCCAATTTGGATTTTCATATTCCTTACCTTTTGTTTTCTGGCACTCTTTCTAAGCTGAACATACAACATAATTCATTAATATAGTATATTAGGTTTCACAATAGTTTCTTCAATAGAGTTAGTTGTGATGGTTGTTTGAAGGTATTTTCTTAGTATTTTTTGTAATTTTTTAATATTTTATTGATTCTGGATTTTTTTTTTTAAATGTAAGTTGCCTGTATTCTTTTTTTATGGAGCTTGGATTTTTAGTATCTTTTCAATAATTAAACATAACAGGGGAATATAGCTGTAGTTGATATGGTCCTTTCTTTAACCAAAAGCTGGGATATCTTCCAATGCAATATTTGTTAGGCCTTTCATATGATTGCAAATTTAATAATTACAAAAATACATTTGTGTTCTAATGGTGATTTGTGAACTATGGATAAAATGCATTTCAACTTTGTTAATAATTCTACAAACTATTTGTACTAAATTCTACGAAAAAATAGATGCTCAAGATTATGGCAATTATCAAGGCAAGCTATTGAGTCTTACAATGATGTTTTAAGAGAGAATAATTGAACATATCCCTATAAAATTAATTAGTATTCGAGAATTATTTTGATTTTATGGTTTGGAAGGTTTGTTATGGATTTCAATTTTGTGCCGAGGCAATTAAGGACAAAGTATAGTAGTAGCATTAAGAGTTACTATATACATCTCGTTCTTGGGATGACAATATGACGCATACTTATATAGGCTGTGAAACTGATAAGTGATTTATTTATTAGTTTTTTATGATAGAATTTCTGTTGTACTGGTAATGAGTTATTCCGTAGGCCCTCAGTCTTTTCCTTCCTTCCATGCAATCCATCATCAGATGCAGTTATTGTGTTCAAGTACAGGTCAGTTTTGCTTGCTATTTCCAGCACCTGATAGAGCTAATTTTAGCTCAACGCGAGATTCATATTGTCTTATCGTTTTTCTAGTTTCAGTGTACTGACGGAAAAAAACTAGAAAACACATACAGCATAGAAATGCCTTAGGAGTTTTCTACAGAGCAATAGGTAACCATCCATCTAATAGGCTTGTTCTTTTATTTGCAATTTTCTCACCTCGAGTAATTCATTTTGTGGTTTTGTTTTGCCACAATATGATGATTAAAAGACCTGTTTTTGATTTGAACTTCACTTTTTTCAGCCTTGCTATTGTTTTCCTGTTTTTATTGTCAAAGTAGGATCAGGCGTATTCTGGAAAATTCTGATTATTAAGTTTCATTAATTATCTTAAAATAGGTGAAATTTCCAAATAGTGCTATATCATGTATTGGAACGTTAAATTTCCCAAATTGGGCCCCTAAAATGATCAGAATTTTCATTTTTATGGGAAGTTTACTTTTTCTAGAATTGAGTCCATATTCTTGCTTTGTTGCACTTGTATGCTATATGTATGGCTTCTCTGTGGTACTACGAATTTTGTTTTTCATGCTGCATGCTTAGTAGATTCTATTTTATTTTTTCATTGTTGCAGGATGAAATACTACAATGGTTGTCTGTTCCACACAGTTGAGAAGGGCTTCATGGCCCAAACTGGAGACCGTACTGGAATGGGCAACGGAGGCGACTCAATATACAAGTTAGTATTGCTATATATCTACAGCCATTTATGCAAGTTCTTCTACTATTGTTACTACTGCTTTGCTACTGAACTTAACTAAAGAGTAGAGGAACATAGTCTTTGCTCATTATTTTTTTTCTAACCAATAAGAATATATATTTTCATATTTATGTCGTGTTAATCCTCATGTTTTTGGCACCACCAATTTGGCACTTGCCTTCCGTTTTTCTCTGCTATTTGAATTGGCCTTATACCTTCTCTACTTTGCTTGGACTTCCCGAAACCAGTCTTTTGTCTAAAGGCCATCAGTGTAACACTACGATGTAAATCTAGCCATACTGGATGATTTTTCCCTTAAAATTGATGGTACCTGGAAGATAACAATTAAATTAAAGTATGCATATGCGTTGTTTTTTTGAAGAAGATTTAAAAAACCTCTGTTTCTCTTTTTGTGCCATCATTTACTTGAGACTGTTCTTATCTTTCTACATTTCCGTACTTCAACTTGATTTTGAATGCTGGCTTGCCCATTCTGCGATGTGCAGATTTCTTTATGGCGAACAGGCTCGCTTTTTTGATGATGAAATTCATCCTGATTTAAAGCATTCAAAAATTGGCACTGTGGCAATGGCTAGCGCTGGTGAAAATTGCAATGCCTCCCAGGTACTTTTTACATTCTATTTATATCTATTTAGTTTTGATGTCATTTGTGTTTTTTGTTTCTTTTTGTATTGTGATATATGTTAAGAGATCTCAAAGAATTTCAAAGCCTATATAAATAATTATTCTTCTCTATATTAATTGCTACTAACTGATATTTGGGAATGAATGCTATGAAGAAACTATACAAGTAAAAGATTTTACTAAGTGAGACCTTAACACGATCTCTTTATAAGAATATTATCAAGATATTGATCAAGTTGCCTGAAGGAAAAAAAGTGTTGCAAAACAATTGGATATACAAAGTAAAGGAATAATAGACAAGAATTAAAAAGGTATAAACTAATGCTTATTGTCTAGGGGTTCTGGTAAAAAGAAGGTACAGATTTTACATATATATTCTTTCTTATAATTAAACTAATGACTTTTTGTCTAGTATTAGGTATTATAACAACAAAAGATCTTTACCTTGAACATATCCTCCATAGTGACTTTGAAGAAGATATGTGTATGACACAACCAATAGGCTTTATTGAACCTAGAAATGAATGTTTTGTGTGCAAGTTAAATAAAAGCCTTCATGCTTGAACAAGTGCCTCGACAATGGTACCATAAATTTGATTGGGTTACACACAATCGAATTTTGCAGATACAATGCCGATCATTGTTGCTCTGTCAAAAGGAACACGAAAATATTGTAGTATCTTGCTTTTATTGTGACATGTTGATTGCATGGGTAGACATCACGAAAATACATGATCTGAAAAAAATAATTGTCATAGAAATTTGACAATGAAGGATATAGGGAAGCCAAGAAGATTCTTAAAATGAGAATTGAACAAGACAGAGCTACAAAGATTTTGAAACTATCACAATCTCAACCCATTGGATAGGTTCCATATAATGAATGAAAAAATGTCGAGCTTGTCATTAGAATTCACTTAAAGCTCTCGAAAGAAAAAGTATTAGAGATAATCAAAAAGAAAGATTAGCCATTGGCCTCAAAATAATCACGCATTAAAGTTTACAATTTCTAACTTGAAGTTACAATGATATGTTGCTGGTGATTTGTGAGGGAACTTGATGCAAGGAGAACTATTATTGGGTATATCTACTGATTCTACTCTTTAGGTGGCACCACTATCAGTTGGGTGCCATAGCTTAGAAGATAGTTACAGTGATATGTTGATGGTGATTTATGAGGAAACTTAGATAAGAGGGGAGCTATTATTGGGTATATCTACTGATTTTGCTCTTTAGGTGGCACCACTATCAGTTGGGTGCCATAGCTTATAAGATAGTTGCCACGTCAACGACAAAAGTGATCCACTTGATCCTTTCTATTACTTTCATAACAGGCTCTTCCTATACAAATATGTGTTATGTTTAAGAAAAAGTAGCCCAGTGGTGATCTACTTGAACCTGAAAGACCTAGACAAACTAGGTTTGTCTAAGTAAAATGTTGGGGTTGGAAATTAAGATAAGAGTTACATTAGTCATTAATTGGGAGCAAACTGATGGGTTTGAATAGAATAATGTAGATTGGGATTTATGCATATTGGCGGGATGATGATATTAAGCTTGATAAAAATGACTAGAAGATTGGGTTTTGGAGAAATGTAGTTCATGCCACTAGGACAGGTACTCAAATGATCCAAAGCTGATTGGAAGGCTAACCTTTAAAACTAAAGGGATGATCATGCTCTGATTTTGTGAATGCAAACTAAGTATTTGTAGCGTACATATTAATCAATCTTTTTGAATAATATATTGAGCAATATTATATGCTCATATATTCAGTGTTATACTTGACCCATATCTAGACTACTGGGATGAGGAGGGTCGCTTAATGTTATACTTGACCCATATCAGTCACATCTAATCTAGACTACTGGGATGAGATCGAGGGTCCACGCGCATTGTGTATGCAACATGTCCCTAGATTGATGCCTAATGCAATTGTTGGAGAATTTTTGTTATCCTCAAATGGATTGCATACTTTATGATTGGGTACGGCATAAGAATGATGATATATTACCCCGAAAGGTGAAAATATAATTTCCTTATGGACTCAATGGTAAAATTTTAAACATAAATTCTCCCCTTTGATGTTTGGTTGAATGGGGTTTATTTGTTTATGGGGTACAGATGTCCCATAGGGGCAAACCTTTATAGTTAATTACATCTCAAGCTTTGGTGCTTGAGAAAACTTTTGATTAAATTAAGTGATTTTCTTTTTCTTTTGAAAGTCATTTTAGACATTGGCTAAAATTTGATTTTTTTAGAATCCATGAAAGTCTTATTTAAAGGTTTTGACCTTTAGGAATTTCAAGGGATGAAATGATCAACTTAGAATCATATTTTGAAATGACAACCAAAGGAGGTGAAGTAGGAGCACTTGATTTTAAGAAATCTCAGAGGTGCTCGTACTATCCTATGTTGGGCTTTACATTTTTTAACTCTAATTTTTGTTTAAGTTGACATTTTTATTAGAAGTTTGGGGCTTACATTTCAACAAAACATGTTGGAGAAATTGCCCGAAAGGTGAGAACTTATATGGTGATTGAAATCAACCATTTGCCTCATATCCTAAAACTAAGATGAGGATTGCCGAGAGGTAGTGCCTCAAACTTAAGTCTAACGGAATGCAAAAGGGACTTATAAGATACATCTCACATGAGGCATAGCCAGCCAGACCTCTGGATTTATTGTCCTACTTGGAAAGGGCTACCAGCTAAACCTGCCTAATCGATTTTAAAATTATGTTGTCCGATCTCAATGCAAATGTGGAGTAGAGAAGCTATCTTATTTAGGAAGGTAAGACTTACAACTTGGCTTTGAAGCCAAGATGCATGTATATGAAGGTATGCATATGCTGACTCATAAAGAAAATAGAATTTTGTTATTTAGTCTTTAAGTGAAAGCTTTTTATATGAGACACATTTGGGCTATGCATGATCATTTTAAGTTTTGAAAACTTGGCTCCTTGAAGGGAGCCATGAAATTTTTTTTATTTGAAAAACATGAAGCCTAGATTTGATTTTAAATTTCTTACATTTTAAAGGGTAAAAAGTTTATTTTATCCTAAGAGCTTATTGTATCACAAGTTCAGGCCACTCACAAACAAAATAATAGAAGAAATCTAGGAAAAACATGATGTTCTATTGCGCACCCGGTAAACAAACAACACATGCATGTAAATCAGCCAAAATAGAAGTGCAAGTAATGTCCCAATTATTACAAACAATTTTGGCAGTTGAGTTACTTGCCATTATGCAACCCAGTCAATATATTGCATACTCTACTTGTGAGGGTCTTCCAGCTTTAACTTCAAATGGATCTTTGGGCTTCACCTCCAAAGGGGTACATCTTTCTTCGATCCACCTTTCCTTCTAGTCCAAACCCCACAAATTTTACATCCTAGATCTAATCAAATACATTATAGAAAATATAAAAGACTCAAGTCTGCAAAACAGTGTTAGAAAGTAGTTTGTATGATAATCACATCACATCCAAAATTTGCCTAGCACTTAGAGTGTCAAACACCTGCTTCTACCCTATTGATCACATCACTTGGGTGGGGGTTTAAGTGATACCTGTCATGCAAGCATTTATATTATTTATGAGCACCCCTCCTTTGGATGTGGACACCTACACGAAAAACATATATATTTCTACACTAATCACTTAAGGGCAAGTTCCCACAATGCAGACAATCCAAAAGGGCATTCACACCAAATCATCAACCATATGCTCACAAAAAGAAAAATTTTAGTCCTAGCATGCCTAAGGGGTTGTGCACCTAAGTGTGTGAGGCTTGTGTGGTATGTCACAATAAGAGTGTTTCACTTATAGTTTGGATCTAAGGAAAGGGTGTCCAACATATAGCTTTTGAGCTAAATGTTTGGAGATTCTCTCTAGCTTTTGGAGTTAGAAAGAGAACGTAGGAATCCAATGTTTAGCTTTTGGGCTAAATATTGGAGAACTCCCTTTAGCTTTTGGAGCTAAAGAGGGGAAATCTCCTACAACTTCGGAGTTGAAGGAGAGAGGGAACCTATAGTTTTTTGGGCTAGGATGGGACATCTTCTAAGGCCTTTGGAACCTATAGAAGTGAGGGACGATTAGTAGCTTGGAGGCTACAAATCAAAAGGATGTCTCCTTGAATTTTTTGTATTCAAGGAGTTAGGTTTCATTTGCTTAATTTGGATTAGACAAACAAAGATGAGTCACTTATTGATTTTAGCTCAATAGGTGAGGATGATTTGTAACTTTAAGGTTACAAATCAAGAGGAATAATCATAGAACTTTTATGTTCAATGATAAGTATTTAGTTTGCTAGATTTAGATTAAATTAATATAAGAGTGTGATGATGTAGATTTGAGTCACACATCAAGGACTTCTTGGACTTTCGGGTAATCCAAAGAGAGGGACTCATTCACCTAGTTTGGGTTAGAAGAATGAAAGAAAGCTAGGAGTTTGACTCATTTGCTTGATATTATTTGTTGAATTTGGTTCAATAAATAAATGATTTGGATTGAACTATTTGTTGATTTTATTCAACAAATAGGTGATTTTTCTTAGGTTTAATTCACTCAACATGGGTTGAATGAATAAGAGTTCCATACAACTTTTGAGTTGTAGAAAAAAGGGAACTTTTCTACAAATTTGATTTATAGTGAAGAAAAAGGGAAAATGCAACTTGAAACTTGCAAAGTTGAAGCTTTTCTTTGAACATTTGATTTTCAAAGGAGACATTCACCCATCTAATTTGAGTTAGTGAGATGAGAGGAATTCCTACAATTTTTTGAGTTGCAGAAGGAGAAAAGAAGATACAACTTTGGGCTGCAAACTTCTGAATGTTCTTTGAATATTTGGTGTTCAAGGAGAGGGGGTACACTCTCCTAATTTGGTTTGGGAGAATGAAAGAAAGCTAGGATTTTGATTCCTTTGCTTGATATGAAATTATTTGTTGAATTTGATTCAACAAATAAATGATTTGGAT